GGATACAGGGAGACCTGGTATGTTGCAGTCCATGGGGTCACAAAGAGTCAGGCATGATTAAATGACTGAAAAAAAACAACAGACATAAACAGACACAAGTTGAAATTCAAAGCAACCAACAAGAAAGTTAGAACTTGAGGGCACAGGATACCAGAGAAAAAGGAAATGCAGAAATGTGAGCCTGACATTCTGCTGGGCATTTGCCTTTAAAACATTTACATAACCCTAGGGGCTTCCCCGGTGGCTCAAAGGGTAAAGCGTCTGCCTACAATGCGGGAGACCTGGGTTCGATCCTTGGGTCAGGAAGATCCCCTGGAGAAGGAAATGGCAACCCACCCCAGTATTCTTGCCTGGAAAATCCCATGGACAGAGAAGCCTGGTGGGCTACAGTTCATGGGGTCACAAAGAGTCAGACACGACTGAGCGACTTCACTTTCAAAGCTGCATGGGAACAGGAGTTGCTCATTTCATCCAAAAAGTCACGTTATTGTTTACTTAGTTTCATTTTTGAATGATACTAACACTGGGTATCGAAGAAGGCAATGGCAACCCACTCCAGTACTCTTGCCTGGAAAATCCCATGGACGGAGGAGCCTGGTAGGCTGCAGTCCATGGGGTCACGAAGAGTAGGACTCAACTGAGCAGCTTCACTTACACTTTTCACTTTCATGCCTTGGAGAAGGAAATGGCAACCCACTCCAGAGTTCTTGCCTGGAGAATCCCAGGGACGGCGGAGCCTGGTGGGCTGCCGTCTATAGGGTCACACAGAGTCAGACACGACTGAAGCGACTTAGCAGCAGCAACACTGGGTATAAAATTGTGGGGTGGTAGTTATCTTCTTTTAGCAGTTTATAGTTCTATATCTGTTGAAGAAATTATTAAAATTCCTCCTACACACAATTCAGGTCAAGAGAATAGAAAAGACTTTTTTTCAAAAATAAGGCCAGTAATACCTCAATTCCAAATTTGGTAAGGACATTACAAAACGGGGGTATTATCACTGTTACGTATGTACATATAAAAATCTTTATTAGAATATTAGTAAACTAGTTAGCCTTAGTCACTCAGTCATGTTTGACTCCTTAAGACCCCATGGATTGTATCCCATCAGGTTCCTCTGTTCGTGGAATTCTCCAGGCAAGAATACTGGGGTGGAAAAAAAAAAAAAGAATACTGGGGTGGGTAGCCATTCCCTTCTCCAAGGGATCTTGATGACCCAGGGATCAAATCCAGTCCTCCTGCATTTCAGGTAGATTCTTTACCATCTGAGCCATCAGAAAAGCCCCCATTAGTAAATTATGTGTGTGTGTTAAAAAATAGTGAGTTGATGTGTGTCAGGATGATAAAAGGGAGGTCATTTTAGGCATAGAAGATCAAGTTCAAAGCTTAATGGATGAAACAGAGAGGAGCAAAAAGGACACAGAAGAGACAGATTTAACAGATGTTTAAGATGCATCTTCACCAACGGCAGGGCTTGGTGAAGCAGGGTGGTCAGGAAGAGATGGCTCAAAGATTTCCTGGCTTAGGAAATAGGAAAAATGGTGCTCTCAGAAAATGCAGAAGAGAGAAAAAAAATAACATTTAGAGAAACTCCAATGAATTTCATTTATAAACCTCAAAATTATCCCCAGAAATTCAAAAGATCATCAAGTTCTGTCAGTTCTTCCTAGCTTTTATCCACACCTTGGTGTCATCTTCTCTGGAACACAGTTGCCTAATAGATCTACCTGCCTCTCATCTGGCTCCTTTATAACTTCTCCCTTGTAACTACTGCCTAAGTGATCACAGTAGTGACAACTGTAGGTAGAATAGTTATTTGAGTGATGTACTCTTACTGGAAAAGAAAATAATGGACAGAAGCTTAATGCATTCAGGAAGGTTACAGGACTGACCATTGAGCTGGCAGGGCTAACAGCTACTGCTGTTTGGACAACTGAAGTGTGCAGTTACAAATGGTAATTTATTTTTTCTTTCACTTTCATTGTAATATAATTGATATAACATTGTATAAGTTTAAGAATACATGTAACTCCATGGCTGATTCATGTCAATGTATGACAAAACCCACTACAATATTGTAAAGTAATTAGCCTCCAACTAATAAAAATAAATGGAAAAAAAAGACTAAAAAAAAAAAAGATGTACAACATGATGATTTGATACATGTACATATTGTGAATGAGAGTAATTTACTTTTACGTTAGTAACTCCCAAACAATGTTAGAAATACAAGTGCTAACTGGTACCACTGCCTGAAATGTCTTTTTATCTGTTTTGGTGGAGGGAGTTCAGTTCAGTTCAGTTCGGTTGCTCAGTCGTGTCCAACTCTTTGTGACCCCATGAACCACAGCATGCCAGGCCTACCTGTCCATCACCAACTCCCAGAGTTTACCCAAACTCATGTCCATTGAGTCAGTGATGCCATCCAACCATCTCATCCTGGTGGAGGGAGAGAGGGGTCTTTTCTGCTTACTTCTTTAAATATTTCTTATTTTGAAATATTAATTCATAGGAAGTTATTAAGATAGTACAAAGAGGTATCATGTTCCCTTTGCCCGGTTTCTCCCACTGGTTACCTCTTATGCACCAATATCAAAAGCAGGAAATCAACATTAATATAGAATGTGTGTATAGTTCCATGTCATTTTATCACATGTGCAGATTCAAGTAATCATCCACAGCAAGCAAAACACAAACTACTCCACCACCAAAAAGATCTCCTTCAAGCTGTGCCTTTATAGAGTCAAATCCACCCCTTTCCCACCCATCATTCCTAACTCCTGAAAAATGTTGCACTGCTTTTTTGTGTGTGACTTTAATATCGAGAGAAATGATTGAAGGATGCACAAATATGTTGTGATATAACTACTCATGCTTTAACAAAGAGCAGCAGCTCTCATTCCCTTCACCTATACCACTTGCACTCACCTCCCCTCTGACTCACATTCTGCCAATTCCTTAAGATTAAGGTAGAATAATATAACATAACATGTTAACTTCCCCCTTTCTTGATAGTCCCCTGCTCTATATTCATAGTGTGTACGTGCCTGTTAAGTCACTCCAGTCGTGTCCAACTCTGCAACCCCATGCCAGGGTAGCCTGCCAGGCTCCTCTATCCATGGGATTCTCCAAGCTATATTACTGGAGTGGGTTGCCATACCCTTCTCCAGGGGATCTTTCTGACCCAGGAATTGAATCTGTGTCTCCCTGGGGCTCCTGCACTGAAGGCAGATTCTTTACTGTTGAGCCACCAGAAAAGCCCCATATTCATAGTACATACTATCTATACCACTGATACTGATATTTTAGTCACCCATTCCCTTGTGAAACCTTAAACAAATCTATCACAGAACAATATAACTTCTTAAAATAGATTACAGATGCTATCCCCAAAATTCTGATAGTACATCTATGTAGTTCATCAGTATTATTATTTTGCTAGGACCCTAGTACAGTACCTGGCTTAGACAATCAATATTCAGGTGATTAAATTATGCTATGCTCAAAATTAGGGAAATTAGAGGCATTTAGCAAGATTAGTAATCAATGCTGAATCACCATTTGTTGTTAGGAAACAGGCAATGGAAGTTAGAAAAGAATATGGAGGTGAAATTCAGACAGAGGAGCAGGAAAGAGATAAAGATGAGGACAAATACATTCAGACCTTAGAAATGAACTTAATGTCAGAAGGGCTGCCAGACCCAAGTCAACACATTCTGATGTGTTGTGTTTCATGATAAAGTCTTGTTGTTGAAGCAAGTTCAGTTCAGCCGCTCAGTCGTGTCTGACTCTTTGCGACCCCATGAATCGCAGCACACCAGGCCTCCCTGTCCATCACCAGCTCCCAAAGTTTACTCAAACTCATGCCCATCGACTCGGTGATGCCATCCAGCCATCTCATCCTCTGTCGTCCCCTTCTCCTCCTGCCCCCAATCCCTCCCAGCATCAGGGTCTTTTCCAATGAGTCAACTCTTTGCATGAGGTGGCCAATGGAGTTTCAGCTTCAGCATCAGTCCTTCCAATGAACACCCAGGACTGATCTCCTTTAGGATGGACTGGTTCCTGGATCTCCTTGCACTCCAAGGGACTCTCAAGAGTCTTCTCCAGCACCGCAGTTCAAAAGCAACCATTTTCAGCGCTCAGCTTTCTTCACAGTCCAACTCTCACATCCATACATGACTACTGGAAAAACCATAGCCTTGACTAGACGGACCTTTGTTGACAAAGTAATGTCTCTGCTTTTTAATATGCTTTCTTGGTTGGTCATAACTTTCCTTCCAAGGAGTAAGTATCTTTTCATTTCATGGCTGCAATCACCATCTGCAGTGATTTTGGAGCCCAAAAAAATGAACTATGACACTGTTTCCACTGTCTCCCCATCTATTTCCCATGAAATGATGGGACCAGATGCCATGACCTTAGTTTTCTGAATGTTAAGCTTTAAGCCAAATTTTTCACTCTCCTCTTTCACTTTCATCAAGAGGCTTTTTAGTTCCTCTTCACTTTCTGCCATAAGGGTGGTGTCATCTGCATATCTGAGGTTATTGATATTTCTCCTGGCAATCTTGATTCCAGCTTGTGCTTCTTCCAGCCCAGCGTTTCCCACAATGTACTCTGCATATAAGTTAAATAAGCAGGGTGACAATATACACCCTTGACATACTCCTTTTCCTATTTGGAACCAGTCTGTTGTTCCATGCCCAGTTCTAACTGTTGCTTCCTGACCTGCATACAGGTTTCTCAAGAGGCAAGGCAGGTGTTGAAGCAAAGTCTGATATAATAGACTGATTACATTATGGAAGAGAGAGGAGGTAGTGGGAGTATGGAGGGTGGTGGCTCGGAGCTCCTGAGTGATGTTCCACTAGTCAAGCTGAACAGCTTCCTTGGCCCCTCGCTGTAGGACCCAAGAGCGGAGCTAGTAATTCCACCCGCTATTTTCTAACAGATCACTTCACTATGTAGTAATTGAGATTTAAATGTGAAGACAAATAACTACTTACATGAGAGCTTGAAGACCATGTTAACTGGCAAATAGGTCCAGGAGTAGTAATATAACCAATAGGCTTATAGTCCCTTTCCACTTCGAAAAAGAAGACAGTTTTATCTTTACTCTAATTGAAAGAGAGATATCCAAATATATATTATTATGAAATCTATTCCAGAGAGTACAAAGAAATATTTAACAGCTATATTGCACCCACTGTATACTGTATACTACAATGATCATATATCCCAAATTATTCTGGGAACATTCTTATTTCAAATATTTGCTTCATTTTCCCTGTGAGAATGTTTGACAAACCTGTCACATGTTTTCTTGTGTTTCTAAAGAAAAAAATGATCACCATACCTGTGTATAAGATTAATTCACAAAAAAAATCCACAATGCATACGCTCACCTATTTATACATAACGAATTTACATGGTTATTCTCTTCATTTAAAACACTGACCATACATAAAACATGCTGCCTTATTCCCAGTTGAGAATTTCTATTCATTTAAAATAAGCATTACAACTCAATTTGTAAGAATATTTTTAATATTTTATAGTCAGGCACAGACTATACTGAAAGAATGTGAATACAAAGAAAACAAGAAATAGATATATGTTCTTGGAAAGAAATATAAGAAAAGAAGGCTTCATTAAGTAGGAAGACTAATAAGGCAAGGTTAACCACAAAAATTCAATAGGAAACAAAAGGAAATTTACTCCTTACCCCTGTGGCTAGAACTTCTCCATCACGATCATAAGCTAAAGCAGTGACAGCAGCAGTATGAGGTTTGAAAACCTGTTTCAAACGAATATCTGCATCTGAAACTTTCTTCCGTCCCACAAAAACCGTGAGCCCTTTTGGATCATAAAGTTCAAGAATTCGAACAATGCCATCTTCAAATCCTGCAGTGATCTGTGCTCCACCATAGCTTATCTTGGACAAAAAAGAAATGCAAGGTTTCCAAAATTAGTTAATTAAGAGAGCTGCACTGCATTATGGGCTTCCCTGGTAGCTCAGATGGTAAAGAATCTGCCTACAGTGAAGGAGACCTGGGTTCAATCCCTGGATCAGGAAACATCCCCTGGAGAAGGAAATGACAACCATTCCAGTATTCTTGCCTGGAGAATGCCATGAACAGAGGATAGTCCATGGGATCACAAAGAATCAGACATGACTGAGCGAATTACAGATATTTCTGTATTTTATTTAGACTTAAGTAATTTAACTAAATAATTGGGCTTCCCTAGTAGCTCATTTGGTAAAGAATCTGCCTGCAATGCAGGAGACCAGGGTTCAATCCCTGGATCAGGAAGATCCCCTGGAGAAGGAAATGGAAACCCACTTCAGTACTCTTTCCTGGAAAATTTTCTGTATTTTATTTAGACTTCAGTAATTTAACTAAATAATGAACTAAAATAAGGGCCAATTGATAATTCCTTATACTACTTTATGGTAAACTCCATCTCTTCTAGGACAGTCCATTATCACTGCTGACCATGAGACAGGTAAACAAGGACAATCTATCTACTATGTGCCAGAGACCTGTCAGCAGCAACCCAAAAGTAAGCATAGACAGTCAGTCTCAACCCATTTTCACAAATTAATGGTTGAGTGGGAGGACATGTTGTTATTGTTCAGTCACTAAGTCGTGTCCTACTCTTTGTGACCCCATGGATTGTAGCACACCAGGCTTCTCTGTCCTCCACTATCTCCTGAAGTTTGCTCAAATTCATGTCCATTGAGTTGGTGATGCCATTTAACCATTTCATCCTCTGCCATCCCCTTCTCCTTTTGCCTTCAATCTTCCCCAGCATCAGGGTCTTTCCCAATGAGTCAGCTCTTCACATCAGGTGGCCAAAGTATTGGAGCTTCATTAATCAACCAGACAAAGGAATGTGGAATTATAAGCTTAAATAAGTGTTAAAGGAAAGAAACATTCTCTGAGAATGTATAGCAAAGAAAGCTGACCTAGACTGAGAGCTTCCTTAAGGAAGATATGATGAAGCTGAGAACAGAGGGATGCTCAGGAGTTAATTAAGCATAAAAATACCTCTGGGAGAGCATACAGCTTGTGCAAAGGTCATGTGGCAGGAAATAATGTACCAGGAAAAAGTTAGACTAAAACAGACCGAGTGAGGGAACAGTGCTTCCACAAACAAGTATTAGCTCACAAAATGGCTTATATGTCACATTAAAGATAGTTTTCATCCCAGAGAGGTAAGGAGTCAAAGAGTTTTTAGTCTGGGGATGCAGAGTGGGGAGGTGACGTGATCAGATCTACTATTTCAGGAAAATCATCCTAGGTACAATGTAGAGAATGGATCTGAGGTGGCCGAGACAGGATGCACAGGAGACTTTAAGAAGACTATTTTTTAAATTAATTTTATTTTAATTGGAATCTAATTACAATATTGTGGCACTTTTTGCCATACACTGACATGAATCAGTCATGGGTGTACATGTATCCCCCATCCTGAACCCCCCTCCTAGCTCCCTCCACATCCCTCCTCCCTTGCCATCCCATCCGTCAGGGTTGTCCCAGTGTACCAGCTTTGAGCACCCTGTTTCATGCATCGAACTTGGACTGGTCATCTATTTCACATATGGTAATATACATGTTTCAGTGCTATTTTCTCAAACCATCCCAACCTCGCCTTCTCCCACAGAGTCCAAAAGTCTGTTCTTTATATCTGTGTCTCTCGCTGTCTTGCATATAGGGTTTGTCATTACCATCTTTCTAAATTCCATATATATGCATTAATACATTGTATTTGGTGTTTTTCTTTCTGACTTACTTCACTCTGTATAATAGGCTCATTTCATTCACCTCATTAGAACTGATTCAAATGTGCTCTTTTTAATAGTTGAGTAATATTCCATTGTGTATATGTACCACAGCTTTCTTATCCATTCGTCTGCCGATGGACATCTAGGTTGCTTCCATGTCCTAGATATTGTAAACAGTGCTGCAATGAACATTGGGGTACATGTGTCTCTTTCAATTCTGGTTTCCTCGGTGTGTATGCTCAGCAGTGGGATTGCTGGGTCGTATGGTAGTTTTATTTCCAGTTTTTTAAGGAATCTCCACACTGTTCTCCATGGTGGCTGTACTAGTTTGTATTCCCATCAATAGTGTAAGAAGGTTCTCTTTTCTCCACACCCTCTCTAGCTTTTATTGTTTGTAGACTTTTTGATAGCAGCCATTCTGACTGGTATGAGATAGAACTTCACTGTGGTTTTGATTTGCATTTCTCTGATAATGAGTGATGTTGAGCATCTTCTCATGTGTTTGTTATCCATCTGTATGTCTTCTTTGGAGAAATGTCTGTTTAGTTCTTTGGCCCATTTTTTGATTGGATCATTTATGATTCTGGTATTGAGCTGCTTGTATATTTTTGAGATTAATTCTTTGTCAGTTGCTTCGTTTGCTATTATTTTCTCCCATTCTGAAGGCTGTCTTTTCACCCGGCTTATAGTTTCCTTCATTGTGCAAAAGCTTTTAAGTTTAATTAGGTTCCATTTTTTATTTTTGTTTTTATTTCCATTACTCTGGGAGGTGGGTCATAGAGGATCCTGCTGTGATTTATGTCAGAGAGTGTTTGCCTATGTTTTCCTCTAGGAGTTTTATAGTTTCTGGTCTTACATTTAGATCTTTAATCCATTTTGAGTTTATTTTTGTGTAGGGAGACTTTTAAAATTATGGCTGTTTTACTCCTGGAGACTGATTAATGTCATGTGGTCTGAGGTGGTATAGTGGAGCTGAGAGACCTGGACACATTTTAGAGATGGGTATAATGGTCCTATTTGGTGGTGACTAGATATGGGGAATGAGGCAGAGGGACGTGTCAAGAATGACATATATTTACTGAGACAGGAGATCCTGGAAGGGAGCCAGGTATGTGAGTGTGTGGGGCTGTTGTTGCATTTATTGTTTTGAAGTGGGGGGAGCAGGAGTGGGGACCAGCAGAAGATTATGAACTTAATCTTGGACATGTTGAGTTTGAGGTCCCCTGGAAATCTCAAAATGAAGATGACAAATAATCTGCAGCTTAGAAGAAAAGTCTTGGCTGGAGATATAAATCTAGCAATGTCTGTATGTACTAAATCTGCCATCTTGGAAGGCATTTAGGAAAAGGGCAAGAGCCCTGGTATTCTTTAGAATGGAGTGATCATCCCTTAAGGCCAGGCAATTATGAAAGTCTTGGGAATAAGAACTACATTCAATTCCAATTGAATGTGGCTTATTCAAATTTACTAAGTGCCTATAGGTACCAGTAAGTGTAGAGGCACTGGAAGTATTAACACAAAGAAGAATAAGATATGGTATTGCCATGAAGAACACAGTCTGGTGAGAAAGACAGACAATGAAGCAAGTCATCTTAGTACACTGTGATTAAGTGCTACAAAAGAGGTATATACACAGTCCTTAAACACAGTACTAGATCATGAAGGAAATGAGTACCCTTCAAGATGGGTTCGTAGAGGGCTGGGCAGAGGCAATGATATTTGACCTGAGCTAAATTGTGAAGAATGATATGCAGCTTTCCAGAAAGGTAACAGGGTATGGAGAAGGGGAAATTCTAGCATAATATCTATAAGATCATTACTTGGATTTAAGGCTAAAAATTAAACGCTCTATGAACATTCCACAAAACTCCGAAAAAAATGATTCAATTTGATAAGCTGTATTTTAAAGACTTCAGATAAGAGTGTAAATAGATTAGATAAAGAATGATCCAGGTTTGGTAATCTAAATATTCCATGGTTTCTACTTAATCTAGCCTCATCATCATTCTGCTTCTATTTCCTGGCCTAAGTTCTCCTGATCTTGATCCCATCATTAAAGTCCCCTCCATTCCAGCCATCTCTACATCTGCTTTGGACCTGGAACATTTTCTCTTTGATTTCAACTCAAAGGATTAAGGATAAACCATTCCCCAAATATTCCCATGACGTTTTATAAAAACATGGTTGCAAATTCTTCAACATACCTCCTATAGAAAAATAGTTGAACTTCCTCTCTGTGAATCTGTGTGGTGCTTGTAGCTGTTTCACCCCCTAACTGAGTATAGTACAAGTGATAATATGTGACTTCTAAGGCCAGGTCATGAAATGACAGCAGCTTCTGCCTTCTTTGTTGGAACATAAGATCTTGGAGCCCTGAGCTGCCATGAAGAAGTTCGACTGCCCTGAGGCCACCATGCTGTGATAATGACCTCTCTGTGTGACACGGGCTTCAGGTAAGCACTCCTATTAGCATCACAGCTTAACCCAGCCTTCAACCCAGGTGCTATACTTGGGACAAAGAAGCCTTTAGATGACTCCAGGCCCCAACCATTCAAGTCTCCCCAACTGAAGCCATGATACTATGAAGAAGGGATAAACCATCTCTGCTGTCACCTGTCTGAATTCCCAAACTGGAGTATATGAGCAAAAAAAATGATTGCTTTTTTATGCCACTACATTTGGAGTGGTTTACTACACAGCAACAGACAACTAGAACAAAGCTCTAATTTTTTCCCATTATTTAACATATCACATAAATTTACTTATTTTGTTTACTGTCTGTCTTTCCCACCATCTCCCATGGGGGTATAACATTCTCCTATCAGGGTAAAGGTTCATGCTGGCAAGTATTTTTGTCTTTTTGTTCACTGCTATATTCCCAGAATCTAGAAATAGGCCCAGCACATTGTAGACATTCTAAAAGTACACAGAATGAACCAGAGTCAAACAGAAGACAGATACACAAAGTTCTATCAGGTGATTACTTTTTAACACAAAATTATTTCTAAACTATAGGTGGCATAAGAATAGACTTTTCATTAAAAACACAATAGCAAAGTCATGATATGATTTCTATCATATTCTGAATGGACAAACTAAGTTCGAATTTTTATTCTTCTCTAAAATCCAGAGTCAGAAAATATCTATATTTCTAAGAAATAGCACTGATATATCATATTTACAAATAGATTTTTAGTAAAATTCATTATAATAAGCTTACCAGCCGTGGTACCCAAGCAAGGGCAGTACCTCCTTGCTTGAATTTCATCTGAAGCAAAGGAGTTTTGCCAGCAAAGTCATAGAATCTAATAGAGCCTATAGAAAGACAGTTTTAAAGAAACAAGTTATATATATAGCATATATATATGTTAACAGTTCTAATAACCATGGTTCACTTTATATTTAAGCACTATAACAAGAAATGTCATAGAAAATCAACTGACACAGTCTTTCTTTACATTAGTTAAAATTTTACATGTATACCCTCAATCAGGTAATTTATAAACATGAATACATGCTATGCCATTTTATAAAAGGGACTTGAACATCTATGGATTTTGGTATCAGTGGAGTCCTGGAACCAACCCCACCACCACCACAGACACTGAGAGACACATGTACTAAAGAAAACAACTGCTGATTGACTAGTGAGTCAGTTTTACCTTTCACAGTCCACATAGATTTACTGTAAGTCAAGAAGAAAGAAAGGACATGGAAGGAAAAGGAAAAGCACTACTGTGGAGAATACCAAGATGAATGGTGTTTTCATGAGTAATTTATTGATATATCTTTCATGTCTCACAATAACCAAGGCTACTATATTCTAGGCCCTTCCCCTCTGCAAAAACTTACCTCATTATTATCAGGAGGCTTCCCTTCTGGGAAAATTCTCAAATGCCTTAATCAAACACATTTTAAAATGTATTGAAAATAAAACACAAAAGGCCAGATATGAGTTCTTACTTACAGTCCAAGCCAGTAGTGGCCATGAGATAAGTGACAGGAGAGACGGCCAAAGCTTCAATGGCTCCAGAATGGAAGGAGAACAGGCATTCTGGATCTTGGGTCTGATAACAGAGAGATTCTATTAGAGCTCAAAGACAGGTTAACATAGAATTAAAGCCAAGTTTAAAGAAATACAAATAGAATTCTGTATCATGTATGACTTCATCTGAATAGAAATAAGAAAAGGCATTATAAGATAGCAAGAATGCTGAAGTTCAGAATTAGGAGAAAGAGAATACTGGCTTTGCACTTGATAGCTGTGTGATTTGATGCAAGTAACTTCAAATGCCAGTTTCTATTTCTACATCAGTAAAATGAGATGATGGCAACTGCCTCCCTACAAAATTCAACAGTTGAGAGGATTATTTGAGATAATATACATTAAAATGTTAAATGTTTATGAAAACTATAAAGCACTATAAAATGTTAGGCCATTTCTTGCCACTTTTCTTGTAAATTTTTTTATGAGATAGAATCTTTTTCATATAAAATTTTGTATGTAAAATCATAATGAGAGAAAGACAGACACAACATAAATTCTTTGGATATGTTGAGCAAGTTTTTGATGGGAACAACGATCAAATATGGAGAAAGATAAAGTATCTTTTAAAAAAGAATAATGAACATTTTACTATGAGAGTTTGAAACAAATGAGAAAAACAGGCAACTTACAATGTTTGAAAAGCTAAGGTCAAGCTTCCATATGGCTCCATTGGAATCCTAAAAAATTAAATACTCAATAATATATTGTTCATCATTTTGAAATTTTATCAAATTAAAGGATTTTCTTTTTATGATTTAAAGGACCAACAATACCAACACTTACATATATTTTAAAGTGTGATTGAAATTTAATAATAGCAACCGCATAATACAGCAATCTCATAAACCTTGTAGTCAGTTTAACATAGTAAAAATGCTAATTGGTTTTCTATGTATAAAATATAGGTCAATTAAATATTAGGCTTCCCTGATAGCTCAGTTAGTAAAGAATCCAACTGCAGTGCAGGAGACCCTAGTTCGATTCCTGGCTTGGGAAGATCCACTGGAGAAGGGATAGGCTACCCACTCCAGTATTGCTGGGCTTCGCTTGTGGCTCAGCTGGTAAAGAATCCACCTGCAATGTAGGAGACCTAGGTTCAATACCTTGGTTGGGAAGATTCCCTGGAGAAGGGAAAGGCTATCCATTCCAGTATTCTGGCCTGGAGGATTCCATGGACTGTATAGGCCATGGGGTTGCAAAGAGTTGGACACAACTGAGTGACTTTCACTTCACTTCACTTCTAAATATCAGAATTCAGGGAACTCTTCATTATACTATCAATAGCAGTCTCGATAGTTCTGTGGACTTACAGTGACAGTAAAGTATAATACTATGTTAATTTTATATCCAGATAACTTTAAAGAGCAAAGAGAAAATGGTGTATCTTACCTGAGCCAACCAAAAGTTATTTCCAACTTCATTCATTTTTATCATAAAGAAGAGTTTGACGTTCTTATCTACTTGAAGTTCATTAATGGGCTCTATCTCTAGTAATCCAGTCTCATCTATAACATCAGCAGTGTCTATAGTCTCAAAATCCCATATCTTAAAAAATAAGAAAATACCATAATGAATCAGCAGTTTCCGAATATATATTTTCTAAGTCAGAATGGATATATATTTTCTACGTCAGGAAAGACCCCAATTTTTTCAAGTCATTTCTTATTTCATGAAAATTAATGATGAGTAGATATAATTAAAACACTAGACAAAACCTACCCTCTGAGATTTTACTCTGAGAAATAATGAATTATCATAATTTCCTTTTATTTATGGAGATTAGTGAGAAAAAGTCCATCCTGAATAAGAATTCTAATTTGCCCAAAGTAAACTTTATTTCAAAGTTTCTATCAGGTCTTTCTGCATATAAAGTGACTGTAAGGAATAAATGGTTCAGTCATTCACTGAAACATTATGAGAAGACTTGTATTATATTAGACCCGTGGGACCCTAGAAAGGAGACACAGACCTTCTTGCTGAATGATTCAAGCACAATCTTCATTAAGCAGGGGGAAAAAAAAAAGATGTAGGTAATATCTTCATGAGATAATGTTTCTCTTCCTTATCTTGTATTTAGACTGTACTATTCAGGTAATGACTGTTGTTCTTAAGATAGGAGACCAGAAGAGCACTGGGGAAGAAGGAGGGAGCAGTTTTTAATGTGGCAGAGAAACTCGGAGGGACGTCCTCTGGGAGATGCCCAAGCCCAGGCTGGATGGTTCCGCAGACACATCCTGCTACATCATCCTAGACTCAGCAACTCAGACTTGGGAAGGACCGGTGTTGTCCCATTGAGTACTCTCGTGGAGGAGAGTCCCAGGTCCTAGGGTCAGACTAACTCCTGGGAGTTGGAGTGGGTTTTTCCTAAAGGGCTAGAGGTAGAGATTTACAATATAAAACACTGAAGAGATGAGGGTGGGCTTTGCAAAGGGGAAGCAAGCTTAGACATTAGTGATGGCCATGAAGGAATTCTCTGTGAAGTATCCAACTTCTCTTGAAGTTTTCCTCTCCTTGGTATTTTGATGTATTTGGGGGTGACATATGCTTTGGAAGGATAGTGAATGTATTGTATAACATAATAAAGGACATAAAAGATTCTCAGAGAAATGAATACAACAGAACAAAATTAAACTTAACAGGGTTCAAAGAGCCAATGGTAAGAGGACAAACTGGAAGACATGGCTCTAATACATTGTCTGAGCCAGTAAGCTCAGTAAGTAAGCTCAGTAAGTGTCAGAGTAACCAGATGGTTGGGGGGAAAAAAATGGTCTTACTTCTGATAATACCACTTCCTAAAGAATGTCCCGAGAATACTACCTTAAGAATATTTTCTTATGAAAGGCCCCAGAAGAAACATACTGAGGGGACCACAAAGTAAACCAGAAGACTGCAGGTTGGCCAGCAACAGCAGGGTAACTACACATGGGGGATGGGAGAAGAGGTGTGACAACAGCCAGAAAGACCAAGATGCAGAAGCAGTGTCCCAAATTAGTCCTGTGGGCAGGATGGTGTACACAGGTGAGGACAAGCAAGTTCATTAGTATGGGGGTAACAGGAGGGGAGCATCCATTGGAAAACCCCATCAGCTCACCTGTGTATTTCTAATTGGTAAAATCAGTAAAAATAAATAAATAAATAAATGTTTGGCCTTGTTGTCCCTAGAAAATGACCAATTTATAATAGGCACTTTGGAAGGACATTGGAGTCCACTGTTAATATTGTGCTAATTCATTTTCCGAAGCTACTATTTCAACAACAGAATCAAAATAACAAAATAACAAAATAACAGAAATCAGAAAATTTCAGTGGCAAGATATTAATGAATGTTAACTAGAATTTACAAAGACATAAAGAAGGCTGAGCACCGAAGAACTGATGCTTTCGAACTGTGGTCCTGGAGAAGACTCTTTAGAGTCCCTTGGATTGCAAGGAGATCAAACCAGTCAGTCCTAAAGAAAATCAACCCTGCATATTCACTGGAAGGACTGATGCTGAAGCTATAATACTTAACCTGATGCGAAGAGCTGACTCATTAGAAAAGACCCTGATACTGGGAAAAGACTGAAGGCCAAGGGAGAAGAGGGTGGCAGAGGATGAGGTGGTTAGACAGCATCACCTACTCAATGGACATGAGTTTGAGCAAACTCCAGGCAATAGTGGAGGACAGAGGAGCCTGGCATGCTACAGTCCAAGGTGGTGACGAAGAGTCAGACATGAATTAGCGACTATAAATCTACCACAAGAGTAGCATTATTTAAAATGAGTTGGCCCTGGGAGTAAATGACCACTGATCTTCTTCAAGTGACCTTTGTGAGAAATAAAAATCTGATAAAACCCATAGGATCACCTACAAGACTTTGATGCAGGTGCTACTGTTCAAGTTTAAAGAAAACTTACCCTAACACATCCATCTGACCCAATGGTGATGACTTCTCCCTCGTCCAGCATTATCTGGTTAATGGGACCCTGGTGACAAGGCTTGCCTGCAGCTCGACTCAACTCCACTTTGATGTGGCCTCCTTCCCAAAGCAGCATGTTGCCCCATTCTGACCCTGAGAGCACCTGGCAGGTGTGAGGAAAGGAAAGAATGTACATGAGACAGAAAAACATGTATATTTGCCTCAAATAGCTTGTGAGAAATGTTTAAAGATTTTTCCTGGCTATGAAAATAAATTTTTCAACTTTTAAAATAAGAAAATACAACAAAGAAAATTCACTACCCCAGAAACAACCACTTATCACAATATGTAGTTTTACATAATGATGTCAGGCAGTACGTTGGTGGTTAAATTTTCAAACACATCTGCAGATTTCTTTGTACATCTCTTAAGGACATAACCCAGGAGTGGAACTACTGGGTCAAAATTTAGAGATATGTTTAAAGTTCTTGATAGATGAGAGTGACAATAATCAAATGTTATAAGATGTTTGATAAATTGTGACTCCACTACTGCAAATTATAACAGAACAATATCCAGTTTCAAACAAGGACAATCACCTGAAACCACCTCACTTAATGCATTTAATCTAGCACATCCCAAAATATATAGCACCAAACACCAACTCTTAAGATATCGAACTAGTATTACATAGTAAGTAATACTAATTGAATATTGACTCCATGACAAGCACTACTTGAGCACTTAACACATACTATTCTTTAATCCTAAAAACCATATTAACTGGGTACACTTATTGAGGATACCATGTGCAGTTATACAGGTTGGGCACAGTTTTTCTCATTGGCACAAAGAAACCACAGGGCCAATGGAAGTCCTATTATTATCCCCCATCTTACAAGGTAAAAAAAAAAAAAGCCTGAAGCATATTAATTAGCTCGCCCCAAATTACCCAGGAGTCAGGGTTCTAAACCAGGCCCTCAAGTAACGCTGCCTCAGTAAACATATGCTAGGATAAACAAAGTCAAACAAGTTTCTTTTCTCTAGAACCCCTTGGAAGCTTTAATACAGAAGTGTTCACTGGGAATCATCATAAGAAATTTTTAGGTACAAAGGAATTTGACCAGGAAAGTCTTATTTTCAGAGAGCTTCTGTGTAAAAGAATACTGCATGAAATGTCCTTTGGGGAACTCTGATCCAATTCTTGCCTGCCTGCTCGAGGACTCTGCAGCCTTCTCCCCAAGTCACTTATGACCTTACTCAGTCTTTTTTGTATTTCTTCAGCCTGCCTATTATCTATTCTATCTGTTGAGCCTCAGCCCACTTGTCTTTTTCTTTAGACTTGCTTTTTTTTCTGTCCAGTAACTAAAGCCATCCAAAGTCAATAAAGGCTATCACTCATTCCTTTCTGAAATGTCACAAAAGGAAAAGCTTTCCTTTTCCATTTGTCCTGAGAAGAGTCCAGATTCTCATCATCTCTTCTTGGATAAAAGCAGTATCTTCCTTCTGAGCTCATCTCCATGACTCCATTTTCCTAACTTGCTTGGCATTCTGTGACCAAGCTTATAAATAATTTTTTCCATTTGTATCTCTACTCTTCCAATGCTTAATAGTTCTGCCTGACTGTTCAAGTCCTTGTACATTGGGAGCCCACCATACTTCTCAATCTAATTTCCCACTCCTTCCCTAGATGAGTGCTCCAAATTAATCCTATAAATATGTAATATTTACTCTTAACTCTAAATATTTCCTTTTGTGGCTCTCATTTAAAGTGACTTCTTTTCTCCCCTACATCTACACAAACTCTACTGAGCCTTTTAAAAATATATCTCAAACCAAGTTTTTAATGATCTTTATCTTAGCCTAGCATGTGAGATGAGTGCAATTGTGTGGTAGTTTGAGCATTCTTTGGGATTGCCTTTCTTTGGATTGGAATGAAAACTGACTTTTTCCAGTCCTGTGGCCACTGCTGAGTTTTCCAAATTTGCTGGCATATTGAGTGCAGCACTTTCACAGTATCATCTTTTAGGATTTGAAATAGCTCAACTGGGATTCCATCACCTCCACTAGCTTTGTTCATAGTAATGCTTTCTAAGGCCCACCTGACTTCACATTCCAGGATGTCTGGCTCTAGGTGAGTGATCACACCATCGTGATTACCTGGGTCACAAAGATCTTTTTTGTACAGTTCTTCTGTGTATTCTTGTCACCTCTTCTTAACATCTTCTGCTTCTGTTACATCCATACCATTTCTGTCCTTTATCGAACCCATCTTTGCATGAGATGTTCCCTTGGTATCTCTAATTTTCTTGAAGAGATCTCTAATCTTTCCCATTCTGTTGTTTTCCTCTATTTCTTTGCATTGATCGCTGAGGAAGGCTTTCTTATCTCTCCTTGCTGTTCTTTGGAACTCTGCATTCAAATGGGAATATCTTTCCTTCTCTCCTTTGCTTTTTGCTTCTCTTCTTTTCACAGCTATTTGTAAGGCCTCCTCAGACAACCATTTTGCCTTTTTTGCATTTCTTTTCCATGGGGATGGTCTTGATCCCTGTCTCCTGTACAATGTCACAAACCTCCGTCCATAGTTCATCAGGCTCTCTGTCTATCAGATCTAGTCCCTTAAATCTATTTCTCACTTCCACTGTATAGTCATAAGGGATTTGATTTAGGTCATACCTGAATGGTCCGGTGGTTTTCCCTACTTTCTTCAATTTAAGTCTGCATTTGGCAATAAGCAGTTCATGATCTGAGTCACAGTCAGCTCCCAGTCTTGTTTTTGCTGACTGTATAGAGCTTCTCCATCTTTGGCTGCAAAGAAAATAATCAGTCTGATTTCGGTGTTGACCATCTGGTGATGTCCATGTGTAGAGTCTTCTCTTGTTTTGTTGGAAGAGGGTGTTGGCTATGACCAGTGTGTTCTATTGGCAAAACTCTATTAGCCTTTGCCCTGCTTCATTCCATACTCCAAGGCCAAATTTGCCTGTTACTCCAGGTGTTTCTTGACTTCCTACTTTTGCATTCCAGTCCCCTAGAATGAAAAGGACATCTTTTTTTGGTGTTAGTTCTAAAAGGTCTTGTAGGTCTTCATAGAACCATTCAACTTCAGCTTCTTCAGAGTTACTGGTTGGGGCATAGGCTTGGATTACCGTGATATCGAATGGTTTGCCTTGGAAACAAACAAAGATCATTCTGTCATTTTTGAGATTGCATCCAAGTACTGCATTTTGGACTCTCTTGTTGACCATGATGGCTTCTCCATTTCTTCTAAGGGATTCCTGCCCACAGTAGTAGATATAATGGTCATCTGAGTTAAATTCACCCATTCCAGTCCATTTTAGTTCGCTGATTCCTAGAATGTCGACATTCACTCTTGCCATCTCCTGTTTGACCACTTCCATTTTGCTTGATTTATGGACCTAACATTCCAGGTTCCTATGCAATATTACTCTTTACAGCATTGGACCTTGCTTCTATCACCAGTCACATCCACAACTGGGTATTGTTTTTGCTTTGTCTCCATCCCTTCATTCTTTCTGGAGTTATTTCTCCACTGATCTCCAGTAGCATATTGAGCACCTACTGACCTGGGGAGTTCCTCTTTCAGTATCCTATCATTTTGCCTTTTCATACTGTTCATGGGGTTCTCAAGGCAAGAATACTGAAGTGGTTTGCCATTCCCTTCTCCAGTGGACCACATTCTGTCAGCCCTCAGCAATACGTGAACCGTGAACTTCCAGATGTTCAAGCTGGTTTTACAAAAGGCAGAGGAACCAAAGACCAAATGGCCAACATCCACTGGATCATCGAAAAAGCAAGAGAGTTCCAGAAAAACATCTATTTCTGCTTTATTGACTATGCCAAAGCCTTTGACTGTGTGGATCACAATAAACTGTGGAAAATTCTGAAAGAGATGGGAATACCAGACCACCTGACCCACCTCTTGAGAAACCTATATGCAGGCCAGGAAGCAACAGTTAGAACTGGACATGGAACAACAGACTGGTTCCTAATAGGAAAAGGAGTATGTCAAGGCTGTATATTGTCACCCTGCTTATTTAACTTATATGCAGAGTACATCATGAGAAACACTGGGCTGGAAGAAGCACAAGCTGGAATCAAGATTGCTGGGAGAAATATCAATAACCTCAGATACAAAGATGACACCACCCTTATGGCAGAAAGTGAAGAGGAACTAAAAAGCCTCTTGATGAAAGTCAAAGAGGAGAGTGAAAAAAATTGGCTTAAAGCTTAACATTTAGAAAACTAAGATCATGGCATCTGGTCCCATCACCTCATGGCAAATAGATGGGGAAACAGTGAAAGCCGTGTCAGACTTTATTTTGGGGGGCTCCAAAATCACTGCAGATGGTGACTGCAGCCATGAAATTAACAGATGCTTACTCCTTGGAAGCAATGTTATGACCAACCTGGATAGCATATTAAAAAGCAGAGACATTACTTTGCCAACAAAGGTCCGTCTAGTCAAGGCTATGGTTTTTCCAGTAGTCATGTATGGATGTGAGAGCTGGACTGTGAAGAAAGCTGAGCGCCAAAGAATGGATGCTTTTGAACTGTGGTGTTGGAGAAGACTCTTGAGAGTCTCTTGGACTGCAAGGAGATCCAACCAGTCCATCCTGAAGGAGATCAGTCCTGGGTGTTCATTGGAAGGACTGATGCTGAAGCTGAAACTCCAATACTTTGGCCATCTCATGCAAAGAGTTGACTCGTTGGAAAAGACCCTTATGGTGGGAGTGGTTGGGGGCAGGAGGAGAAGGGGACAACAGAGGATGAGATGGCTGGATGGCATCACCCACTCGATGGGCATGAGTTTGAGTAAACTCCGGGAGTTGGTGATGGAAAGGGAGGCCTGGCGTGCTGCAATTCATGGGGTCGCAAAGTCAGACACGACTGAGCGACTGAACTGAACTGATCTTAGCCTAATTCTTAGTAGAATTTGAAGCTAGAATGATTTATCATCATCTTATAGGTTTAGATATATAATTAATGATTTAGCCAGCATCCAAGGCTTTTTATTTCCTCCCATACATCATTATTTCAAATTGATAATTTTCCACTAGGCAATGACTAGACCATTTGGTTTCTCAGAGTAGTATTTGTATATTGGCACTTTCTTATACTTGAGATGATCACAAATACTAATATAACGCACATCTCTTATGTCTCCTGCATTGGCAGGTGGGTTCTTTACCACTAGAACCACCTGGGAAGCCCACAACTCAACCTACCTAGAAGCCAAATACAATATTAATGGAAAATTTATCCTACAGGCAAAATGTCTATAAGTTTTATAAGAAGAAAAGACTAAACTAAAAGATTTAAATTGCAATGTTGCACTGCTATTTTTAAAATGGAAAACCAACAACAGCCTACTTTGTTGGAATTCTGTATAGCACATGGAATTCTGCTCAGTGTTACATGGCAGCCTAGATAGAAGGGTAGTTTGGGGGAGAGTGGATACATTTATATGTATGGCTGAGCTCCTTCGCTGTTCACCTGAAACTTTCACATTGTTAATCGACTATACCCCAATACAAAATTAAAAGCTTTTTAAAAAAAAACAACTGCAATGTTGCAGATATCACTATAAAATGTCTCAATCTTCCTGAATAATAGTGAGTGACTGAATAAGTAATAGTCACTTATTCATGTCTGACACTCTGCAATAATCTGGTGATAAAAACAAAAGCTGCAAGACTGTATATAACCTTTGACCCAGTAAATCCTCTTGAAGCATAATGGTGAAGAAGACAGGAGGGAGAGAAACACTATAGACATTGCAACTCCATGACATAATTAAAATTAAAAATGACAAGTATGTCACTACATTAATATATGAAAATGCCTGCATACTTTCTATGTACCTATAATATTTAGTAAAGACAAAATGATATGTACATGTGGACTAGTTTCATAGAATTAAAACTGATAATCTAAAAAGGCAAAATTAAAGGCTCATTATATTTACAATTATAGTATCTGTTATTGACAATATTGGCAATGCTTTTTAGACTGTATAGCATACTTTCATACATGTACATCACTTCATTTCATTAATTTCATTATTGTAGAATAGCAACTGTACTCACCTTCCCATCCGGGAGCTCCATGTAACCTTCTATATCAGTTGTGGCTGTTTTGCCAAATCGACCCAATGAACCCTGAAGTTTGAGGCCAGTGAATGTTAGAGCCATTTCCCAGAACCTGCAAATAATGAAAGATTGAATGTACCTAAAAGAAATCTTACTTTAACTTTAATGTCAATCATTTACATATTTAAAAGTCACATATTAGTTCATTTATCTATTCATTCAGTTAATTTGTTTTAAGCATCAACTACCTGTCAGGCAAAGCTCTAGGCAACATGAATTCGACATCAAGCAAAGTAGTCCAAAAAGAAAAAATTTCCTGCCTTTGTCAATCTTACTTTTTTTTTTTTAAGTCACTCAGTCGTGTCCGACTCTTTGCGACCCTGTGGACTGTGGCCCACCAGGCTCCTCCATCCATGGGATTTCCCAGGCAAGGATACTGGAGTCAATCTTACATTTTAGAGTTGTGTTGCCCTATGCAATAGCCATATGTTTGACTATTTTTATTTAGATTTAAAGTAATTAATATAAAATAAAATTTAAAAATTAGTGTTTTATTCAGACCAACCAGTTTCAAGAATTCAGTAGCTGCACATGGCCAGTGTCTCTAGACTGACCAGCACAGGATACTCCCACCCTGGAAGAAAGTTCTACTACATAGTACTGCTTTAGAGGATGTAAATATTTTCCAAAATTTCTAATTTACTTGCTGTGTAACTTTGTGTAATTTTCTCGATCACATATGTATCTTCATTCTCTTATGTGTAAAATGAGAATATTATTTGCACCAACCTTGTGAAACTGTTGAAGAAAAACTCTTAGAAGAGTGTCTACCACATAAAATCAATAAATATTAAGTTACTAATATCTTCTTGTTTATAACCTAAACAAATGAATAGTTGGAATGAAGAAAATTATGTTGAGAAAAGAATCTGATCTACTAACTGGATATAAAATAGATAATGGACAGTATTAATAAGTTAATAATATGAAGCCAAGAGCCTAAACAATCAACATCCTTCTCAGAGGCTATGGTAGGTCTTTGATCATATGTTTCCATTTCCTCTACATTTCTTTTTATACCACATCACACATGAAATCCTTTAAAGCCTTTCTCCAAAGATATAGTACATAGAAAATATACACTTTAGTAAGCAATGGGAAAATTAAGATTTTTCAACCTATAGTTAGCAGAGAGCTAGCTGAGACTTCTCAAGATTCAAAAATCTGTTCAATTATTTTATATTTTAAAAAGACCAGTTTTAAGTTGTAATAAAAAGAATTTAGGATAGATTATTTCTCATAAAGAGATACTGGAAGCAAGTTATGGGCAACTTGAGAGTAGTGCCAGAAGGTAGTTAAATAAAAGACAAAATCATTCCATCCTTAACAAAGAACAGTGTGTGATACAGTGAAAATACCCAGATATCAGAGGTCAAGAATAGGCTCTGCTACCATTTAGTATTAAGAGTCAGGTGTCAAGAATATAACTCTCTGTTATAACTCTCAATTCACAAGTGAAGACTGAGTTCAGAAACATCAAAATGACTTGTCCATCATACAGAATCACTTCAACACACTGAATAGTCGATCTGAAAGCACAGTATGAACTTGGACACAGCACGCCAATCAATGTTAGTAAGATATTACACAAACTCTCTCAGGAAGTGAAGCCTATAAGAAGGCAGAAGGCTAAATTCAAAGCCCTTCTTTTATCTATGCTGTTTTCAGTAATAAAATCTCCATAACCAACTAGAAAAGTTGCACTATAGTTATTTTCAATATAACACATTTAAAAAGTATCCTAATGTTAACATCAGCAAAAGTAATCTCCAGATGATCAAACCTCTTAGAAAAGATCCTGACAATAAAAGACTAGCATCTGTATCATGTGCGCAACCTACTTGATGTGGCCTGATCCTGAGGTAGTGAGCTGCTCGTCATCTTCAGGATTGAAAGTAACCTTAAAAACTTCCTGGGAGAAAGCTTTTGTCCTCAGTAGAGGCTTCTCTTCTTTCCAGTTCCAGATGGTCAGGGTGTGATCAGGACTGCCACCAACAGAAGCCAGCAGGGTACCATCGAAGTTAAAGTCCACGTATGCATAGGCCAAATCAGTTCCATCTGAAAGGATGAGGAGATGAATGGGAGTCTAATAACAGAGACAGAATTTCATTTTCAAAACTGTATTATTTCAAAAATAAAAAGGCAAGAGAGAACACCCACAGAGATGTGCATTGGTGGAAGAATGTCAAGAATCCCCTAAAGAAACAATTTCAAAACCATTCATCACCTCTGGCTGGAGAATATATTATATGATATGGAGGGAAGGGGTAAGGGTGAAGAAGTCTTAACCACATTTTGACTGAGAAAAATACATTGAGAATATATTCTATTTTATGAAGCAGGAAAGGCATGTTAGACAACATAACTAACAAAAACATGTTAGACAGCAGAGAGAAGTCAATTTAAAATCTGCCACTGAATTTTTCCCAAAATAAAAATGATGACTCTCAGTTTCTGCTTATGCATGTGAGGAGCTAAGAAGTTACCATTCCATCCTAACAACAAGTAAAAAGCTGAAAAGATGGAAAAATCAACAGCTCTTCTTGAATCTGTAAGAGAGGGAAGAAACCGGGGCAAAGCCTTGCCCCTGAGAATGGAGAGACTGACAGGAAAATATAGAGATACTCAAGTCACCACAGCAGAGACTTCCAAGCAGAAACAGCCAAAACAGCTTGAGGAACCACTCCGGACAATAAAACCTGAACTCTGATAGCAGGAGACTCAGTGTGGACAGGTCTGAGAATTAAAAACTCCAGGGGAACCAGTCACAAGGTGGCCCCAACAATACTGTGAGATTTATCTCCAGGAGCTTGACTAGATTTCTAAACTAAAAATATCCAGAAAAACATCTCTGGGCTTCCAGCAGAGGGAGGGAGAAAGGAGCCATTTTGAAATACCCCAGGTCCTCTGATCTTAATAAGGTCTGGCCTCAGGGGAAACTCATTAACTAATTAACCAGAGCCTGAACAGCTGGGGTTTATCAGCAGCCTAACTGCCCTGCATACAGGTTTCTCAAGAGGCAGGTCAGGTGGTCTGGTATTCCCATCTCTTTCAGAATTTTCCACAGTTTATTGTGATCCACACAGTCGAAGGCTTTCTCGTAGTCAATAAAGCAGAAATAGACATTTTTCTGGAACTCTCTTGCTTTTTCGATGATCCAGCGGATGTTGGCAATTTGATCTCTGGTTCCTCTGCCTTTTGTAAAACCAGCTTGAACATCTGGAAGTTCACGTACTGCTGAAGCCTGGCTTGGAGAATTTTGAGCATTACTTTACTAGCATGTGAGATGAGTGTAATTGTGCAGTAGTTTGAGCATTCTTTGGGATTGCCTTTCTTAGGGATTGGAATGAAAACTGACCTTTTCCAGTCCCATGGCCACTGCTGAGTTTTCCAAATTTGCTGGCATATTGAGTGCAGCACTTTCACAGCATCAACTTTCAGGATTTAAAATAGCTCAACTGGAATTCCATCACATCCACTAGCTTTGTTTGTAGTGATGCTTTCCAAGGCCCACTTGACTTCACATTCCAGGATGTCTGGCTCTAGGTGAGTGATCACACCATTGTGATTATCTGGGTCGTGAAGATCTTTTTTGTACAGTTCTTCTGTGTGTTCTTGCCACCTCTTCTTAATATCTTCTGCTTCTATATGCAGGTCAGGAAGCAACAGTTAGAACTGGACATGGAACAACGACTGGTTCCAAATAGGAAAAGGAGTATGTCAAGGCTGTATATTGTCACCCTGCTTATTTAACTTATATGCAGAGTACATCATGAGAAACACTGGGCTGGAAGAAGCACAAGCTGGAATCAAGATTGCCAGGAGAAATATCAATAACCTGAGATATGCAGATGACACCACCCTTATGGCAGAAAGTGAAGAGGAACTAAAAAGCCTCTTGATGAAAGTCAAAGAGGAGAGTGAAAAAGTTGGCTTAAAGCTTAACATTCAGAAAACTAAGATCTTGGCATCTGGTCCCATCACCTCATGGGAAATAGATGGGGAGACAGTGGAAACAGTGTCAGACTTTATTTTGGGGGCTCCAAAATCACTGCAGATGGTGACTGTAGCCATGAAATTAAGACACTTACTCCTTGGAAGGAAAGTTATGACCAACCTGGATAGCATATTAAAAAGCAGAGACATTACTTTGCCAACAAAGGTCCGTCTAGTCAAGGCTATGGTTTTTCCAGTAGTCATGTATGGATGTGAGAGTTGGACTGTGAAGAAAGCTGAGCGCCGAAGAATGGATGCTTTTGAACTGTGGTGCTGGAGAAGACTCTTGAGAGTCTCTTGGACTACAAGGAGATCCAACCAGTCCATCCTGAAGGAGATCAGTCCTGGGTGTTCATTGGAAGGACCGATGCTGAAGCTGAAACTCCAATACTTTGGCCACCTCACGCGAAGAGTTGACTCATTGGAAAAGACCCTGATGCTGGGGGTGATTGGGGGCAGGAGGAGAAGGGGATGACAGAGGATGAGATGGCTGGATGGCATCACCGAGTCAATGGGCATGAGTTTGAGCAAACTCCGGGAGTTGGTGATGGAAAGGGAGGCCTGGTGTGCTACGATTCATGGGGTCGCAAAGAGTCGGACATGACTGAGCGACTGAACTGAACTGAATTGCCCTGCAGAAGGAAATATCCAACCCAGCCCACTCTAGCCATCCTCTCCCACCTAAGCTGGGAGAAAATGCTGAGAAATGTTTGTGAAGTTCACAGTTCAGAGGCATAGGCTCACCAAAAAAATGAGACCTAATCATAGTACTAAAGAATTCTTTCCTTCCCCTGCAATCTACCACCAGGTTACCAAACGCCTGTTTACCACAGTTCTTTTTATCCAATACATCATGTCTTGCTATTCAGAAATAATGTCAAGGCATACCAAAAAAAAAAAAAAAAGACAACTTGAAGAGATAAAGCATTCATCACAACCACACATGGCATAGATCCTGGAATTATCAGATTGGAATTTAAAACAACTACAATTAACATGCTAAGGGCTCTAACAGATAAAGTAGCCAACATTAAGAGCAATGTTGGCAAAGAGATGAAAATCCTAAGAAAGAACCAAAAAGGGGATCATCCTTAATAACCTGAGTGGGCCTCATCCCATCAGCTGAAAGCACCTAGAAGCAGAACTGGGGTTTCCCAGTTCTTCTTCCCAGGAAGAAGAAATTCTGCCTGAAGACATAGAATCAATTCCTGCCCAAGAATTTCCATACTGTGAGCGTGCCCTACAAACTTGAGATCTGCCAGCCCCCAATTATATAAGCCAATTCCTTCAAAAATACCTCTCTTCTCTCTCCGACCAGTTCTGTTTCTCTGGCAGACCCTGACTGCTACAGTAATGTGAGGTCATCTTGAGAATTCTGTTCACCTTAAACATGCGATATTTTAAAGATTCTAAGACTCACCTTGAAGGATTCTATAGGGCCTCATTGAAGGATATTCATAAATGATTATTTTTGGGAAAACTCCTTTTTCTGCTACTGTGAAATAAGTTTTATCAGGGTGAACCTATAAAAAACAAAAGGTCACTAAAGTATTAAAAGGGAGATATTCACATAAATAGTTACATTAATAAGTATTTAGAACCTGTTACTTTATAATTGGTTTATTAGGATCCACTCCAACAGAAAACTCAAAGCTGGACATCTACTAAATACTTGATAGTGGATATAATTTAAACTGAGAACTAGAAGGGTACACACTTAAGTTTTACTTTATTAATAGAGTCATGTTTAACTACAATTTTTTAAATTGCCATCTGAAGAGCTAGAATGGTGTGTCTCAATCTTTATCAGGCATCAGAATCACAAGAAGGGCTTATTAAAGCATAGACCTCAAGCTTTAACACTGGACTGTCTAAGTCAGTAAATTGGGGCTGAGATCTGAGATTGTGTATTTACATTTCTATCAGTTTCCCAGGTGATGCTGGTGCTGCTGAATCTGGGGACCGCTGTTTGAAACCAACTAAGTCAGAGTGTTTACCTTGAATATAAATCAACCTACCTTCATGAATAGAAAATTCATGTCTCAGAGTAAGCTGTGTCACAATTTTTTAAATTTCACCTAACCAGCAATAAATATCTCAATATTTCAAATGATAGCCATATACATTGAATGGAATCGTATGTTCACTCCTGTTGTTTTTGTTCATTGACACAAATAGTTTATCCAGGGAATATTTACTGTATTTCCTTTGCATCTGACTTAGAAATATTGTATCTTTCACAATTTCAGTAAGTTTACATCCATTTCTGCACAGCAGGCTCTGCACTAGCTCTGTCTGGTCTGCTCACAACCAGTAGGAAGGACAAGGGAAGGATTAGATGTTCGGATCACGATCCCTCTAGAAACCCTCTTGAGCATCTCATAGGAAACTGCCGCTTGTATGAGCCCCACATCCTGCCCATTTCTCCTCCTTTCCCTTTCCCTGTGAGGTCTCTCACAGATTAATCTCAACAGATGCCCTTCTCCTGACACCAGTGACGCTGAGAGGACCCCTAAGGCTGCCTGTTACCGGTAAGAACAAATCTGGGATGCCTATTTTAAGGAGCACAGGGTAGAGAAACAACCAAGCGAAAAGCCATTGCTATTCAGAGGTCAGGTAAGATAGTTAGTAAGGTATTCTTTTGATGTGGCCACTAATAGGGTCATTGGCCATCTTAGTGAGGTGATAGGAAGAAGACAGCAGAAGTTCAGCTTTGAGGGAAAGATCAAAAATCAAGGGGTAGGGCTTCTCTGGTGGCTCAGTGGTAAAGAATCTGCCTGCCCATGCAGAAGAAACGAGTTTAGCCTCTGACCCAGGAAGATCCCACATGCCACAGAGCAACTAAATCCATGTGTCACAACTCTTGAGCCTGTGCTCTAGAGCCAGGGAGCCACAACTACTGAAGCCCAGGTGCCCTAAAGTCTGTGCCCTGCAACAGGAGAAGCCACCACAATGAGAAGCCCACACAACACAATTAGAGAGTAGCCCCTGCTCTCTGCAACTACAGAAAAGCCCATGCAGCAACGAAGACCCAGCATAGCCAAAAGTACACTTTTTTATTATATATTTTTAAAAGTCAGCAGGTAAAGAGAATGTATGGTTAGAAAGGGTTTTGTTTTTTTTTTTTTAATCAGGGCTTGAGGCTTTCAGGACCTTAATTCCACAATGAGGGTAACCAGTGGACCCCCAGTCAAGTCCCAGAGAGGGGCCTTTTAAAATGAGAACAAGTTGATTTAACAGTATGCTTTCATGCTAAGGATGCCCAAGGAAGTAGAGGGTGAAGATACAAGAGAGAAAATGACTAATGGAGACAGACACCAGGGAGGAAGGAAGAGACAGACTTGAAATCACACATGTTTTTGTCGACTACTTGAAATTATTGAATAGACAATTATACTTCATCTCCTAATGTTCAGCTCTATACTTGCATTTTATCTGGCATTTAGCTCTAATTATTACATGAATTACCACTCATGTTATTCATCTTAGTAATTTTGCAGAATGGCAACATAGCATTTAATGGAAAAAACCTGCAAGACTCTAGGAAAGTCACTCAACCTCTATTAGCCGCATTTTCTTATCTGCAAAATGAGATGACAATATTATTAATATCAATATAAATAGCATAATATTGCATGGAGCTAAAGTCAGTGAATGCAGTGGTTGTAATCATGAATTGAAAATGCCTTAGAATAAAGATTACTTTGCACTTCATGAAATTCCATAAGACTTCAAACGAACACACAGTTGGATTTTTTTCCTAAATTACCAAAAGCATACCCCAATGACACCAATTCCTATTCCACTGCTACTTCGCAAGTAGGTCTGTTCTTTGGTTTTCAAATTCAGAAAAATCAGCTGGTTCCCAGCTATGTACATCACGGTATTGCTTTCCAGAAGTTGTAAGTTGGCCCGCTTTCTGCAGTCATAACCAAAGGAATGTCTGTGGGTAAGTGGCTAAGGAAAAGAAGTGAAACAAAGTAACCATGGGCTGGCAGTGGGCGGGTGGGGGGATGTGTAAGCAATGAAATGAATATATTTTTTAAACCCATACCCTTAGTAGCTAAATTTTATGCCAAAACAGAGTTTTTAAATGTATTACTAATGTAACCTTATTTTTAAATTACGTGAAAATTCTCATACTCTAAGCTAATAATTTAATTTTCCTAGGAAAACCCTGAAAGCACATTAATTTTATTTAATTTTGTTTTCAATAGAAAATAAAGTTGAACTTTCAATTTGAGTACTATAGGTTTCCCTCGTAGCTCAGTCATTAAAGAATCTGCCTACAAAAAAAAAAAGAATCTGCCTGCAATGCAGGAGACCCAGGTTCAATTCCTGGATCAGGAAGATCCCCTGGCGAAGGAAATGGCAACCCACTCCAGTACTCTTGCCTAGAGAATCCTATGGACAGAGGAGCCTGGCAGGCTACAGTCCAAAGTGTCACAACAGTCGGACAGACTTAGTGACTAAACCACCACCAAGGAGCAAAGGAGCTTCCTAAATAATTTCATTTTCCTCTCTCCTGCTAAAACTAAATCAACATTATAATATGAAAGGAGGTCTGTATGTTATCTTTGTACTCCCAAAGCCTGTTCAATTTGTTGTCTCAATACGGTAAAAGGATCACATAGCCTCTTGCTGTTGTTGTTTAGTCACTACGTCATGTCCAACTCTTTTTTGACCCTATTGACTCTAGCCCGCCAGGCTTCTCTGTCCATGGGATTTCCCAGACAAGACTACCAGAGTGGGTGGCCATGCCCTCCTCCAGGGGATCTTCCTCACCCAGGGGTCAAATCCCCGTCTCCTACATTGCCAGGCAGATTCTCTACCACTGAGACACCAGGAAGCCATAGGCCTCTTCCTTGATGCTAAAAGACAAGATGTTTAAAATTCTGACATGCTAGTGAAATTCTGACACACCAGTGATAGTGACTACTCTAATAAATTCACATGACTATAACTTAAATTTAATCATATGAAAAATAATGAAAATTGACTAAATAACATATAGTACATAAGTACATAAAATAAATAGGCTAACATTTACTTTCTGGGATCACTAGTATACACATGTATATAGATGAATGTGTGTGCATTCATGCTATAGAGTGTAACTTCGTTAATTCAAAATAGGTTTAAAAAATTGAGCTGTAAACTATTTTCAAATGTACATTGTTACTATACTCAAGCTCAAATTAATATAATCCAAAATATGACTATAAAAATTAAATGAGATCAATCTATTAAAAAATTATAGTTTGCAAAGAAATATATTACATAGTGTAACTTAAGTAGATAGATTCTTATTTTCCAAGAATTCATTGCTGAACACAAAAGTTGAAGGTTCACAGGACAAGTAGCTATTTTTTGAGCCCAGGGTTTTCTTTTTAATCTGATTTTAGAGGATTCCTCTTATTTTTTAATAAATACTTCCAGAAAAAAAAATTACAGATTTTAACAAGAGGATCTGTAGGATGTTAAAAAATGATCAAATTTTAACTAATGTAATTTGAATTATGAAGTATAAATTATAACTAACAACAAGTAACTATACCTATCACATTGCCTAATAGTTAAATTGAAAAAGAAAGAGAAAACATTTCAGGGGCATTTGTACAAGAAAAAGGAATTTTATAAATTTAAAGACACAAATACCTAAAATTGAATCTTATGTAGAAATGCAAATGAATATGTGATCTAAGTTCTAGATGAAGCTATTCTTACCTTATGGAGAATACCTGGGACTGCCTCACAAATAAAGAATAGAATCTATAGCCCCTTATGTTTACAGAGCCTGGTTTTTGTTATTGTTCAGTCACTCAGTCGTGTCCCTCTCTTTTTGACCCCATGGACTGCAGCATGCCAGGCTTCCCAACTTCCCAGTCCTTCACCAACTCCCAGAGTTTGCTCAAACTCATATCCATTGAGTCAGTGATACCATCCAACCATCTCATCCTCTGGCATCCCCTTCTCCTCCTGCCATCAATCTTTCCCAGCATCAGGGTCTTTTCCAATGAGTCGATTCTTCGCATAAGGTGGCCAAAGTATTGGAGCTTCAACTTCAGCATCAGTCCTTCTAACGAATATTCAGTACTGACTTCCTTCAAGATTGACCAGTTTCATCTCCTTGCAGCCTAAGGGATTCTCAAGACCCTTCTCCAGCACCACAGTTCAAAAGCATCAGTTCTTCAGCACTCAGCTTTCTTTATAGTCCAACTCTCACATCCAAACATGACTACTGGAAAAACCATAGCTCTGACTATACGGACTTTTGTCGGATAAGCGACAAAAGTTTCTGCTTTTTAACATGCTATCTAGGTTTGTCATAGCTTTTCTTCAGCATCAGTCCTTCTAACGAATATTCAGTACTGACTTCCTTCAAGATTGACCAGTTTCATCTCCTTGCAGCCTAAGGGATTCTCAAGACCCTTCTCCAGCACCACAGTTCAAAAGCATCAGTTCTTCAGCACTCAGCTTTCTTTATAGTCCAACTCTCACATCCAAACATGACTACTGGAAAAACCATAGCTCTGACTATACGGACTTTTGTCGGATAAGCGACAAAAGTTTCTGCTTTTTAACATGCTATCTAGGTTTGTCATAGCTTTTCTTCCAAGGAGTAAGTGTCTTTTAATTTCACAGCTGCAGTCACCTTCTGTGGTGATTTTAGAGCCCAAGAAAATAAAGTCTGTGACTGTATCCAGTTTTCCCCCATCTATTTGCCATGAAGTGATGGGTCTGGATGCCATGATTTAGTTTTCTGAATGCTGAGCTTTAAGCCAGCTTTTTCACTCTTCTCTCTTCACCCTCATCAAGAGGCTTTTTAGTTCCTCTTCACTTTCTGCCATTAGAATGGTATCATCTGTATATCTGTGGATGTTGACATTTCTCCCAGCAATCTTGATTCCAGCTTGTGCTTCATCCAATCTGGCATTTTGCATGATGTACTCTGCACATGGGCTTCCCCTGTGGCTCAGCTGGTAAAGAATCCACCTGCAGTGTGGGAGACCTGGGTTCGATCCCTGGGATGGGAAGATCCCCTGGAGTAGGGAAAGGCTACCCACTCCAGTATTCTAGCCTGGAGAATTCCATAAACTGTATAGTCCATGGGGTTGCAGAGAGTCAGACATGGCTGAGTGACTTTCACTTTCACTCTGCATATAGGGTTTTCCAGGTGGTGCTAGTGGTAAAGAACCCACTTGCCAATGCAGGAGACACAAAAGATGCTGGTTTGATCCCGGGGTCAGGAAGATCCCCTGGAGGAGGGTACTGCAATCCACTCCAGTATTCTTGCCTGGAGAATCCCATGGACAGAGGAGCCTGGTGGGCCACAGTCCATAGGGTCACAAAGAGTCAGACATGACTGAAGCAACTTAGCACGCTTGCACTCACTCTGCATGTAAGTTAAATAAGCAGAGTGACAATATACAGCCTTGACAGAGCCTGGTATGGGGCAGGAAGTTCTGTCTACCCTCCTTTTCCCTCTCCTTAATCACTGCTGTCACCTTTCCTTCTTCTTCCTCTCTTTTCCCCTTTCCCGGATACCAATGTAACACTCTAGAGGGCTGGAGGTACATCTGTAACTATGAAAGGAGAAATGAGGTACAATCCCCTCACTAATTTGGATGATAGTAGAGAATCAGAGACATGCTCATTAATCTAATATTATCATCTTTGATTTCAAGGGGGAAACTCTTTCTGCCTTGCAGCTGCATTGATTGAGAGCCCTTTCAAATGCAGAACGGGTAAGACTGTATCTTCCCAGACACTCTTTTTCTAAATCAATCACAACCTGCTTGAGGGCAGAGATTGCTTCTCATTTATCTGTTTCCTGGAATGCCCACCAGAGTCTTGAGCCTATTAGGCTAAATAAATAAATGAATGAATGCATAACTAGAGTCTGAACTCCCCCTTTTAAACCCAGAAGACAAGGCAGTCCATAAGCAGAGCTCTGAAAATGTAAAAATGTGTTCTGATACATCTGCAACTCCCTTATGTTTTACTTCATCCTTTCTTCTGGCATCTTTTCTTCTTACCAAAGGCCTAGGGACTTCACTGTCCGTCCATAGCCATCTAGGACCTCCACTTTAAAATGATGTTTAAACACTATCTTAAGTTCTGTTTAGTGTCTTTTACAAATTATGCTGTGGCTTAAGTGATATTTTATAAATTACACATTTATTTAGAAGACACAAATGTTAAGTCTGATATATATAAAGAATTTTAAAAGTATCTGGGGAACACATGACAGCTGACTTCTTGGAGCTTCTCACAAGAAATAGAGATTATTTGTTCCATCTCTAGAGAGTAAGACAAAGTCTAATGCAGGACATCCATAAAGGCAGATTTTGATTCAAGATCTGGAGGAGCTCTCTAATAATGGAAGCTATTCAAAAATGGGATCCGCTGGTTTTGAAAGTGATCAAGACAAGCCCAAAGCTCATACATTCACTCATCCAGCATGAGTAGAAAGGATTCACGCACTGAGTCAAAAGTCAAGATCTCTCTGACTCCCTGATTTATAAACTCGGCATCTCTCTCTAAAACAGAGATCCTTGTATTCTGAAGCAGCAAGTCCCTAGTGTTGACAGTCAGGAGAAGGCAGCACAATGAAAATTACCTGAGAAGTTTTTCAGAGTACATATGCCCAAGGCCCTGTCATCATGGAAACAATGCCAGTAGGTCCAGGAAGCTATCTGAGCATGTGCATGTCAGGAGAAGCTTCTAGATGACTAATAAACCACCTCATTTGAAAAAATAGGCTAGAAGGCCACATATCTTTCATTGGTAACTTGTCCAAGGGCTACAGATTTTTTTTTAAAAGGCCCTCAAGAGAGAAAACTCCAGGTTATAAGTTACACGGTGAATTAGTTTTAGTTATACCTAGGATTAGAGAAACAGAGTTAGAAGCTAAAATAACAATCTGTTCAATTTTTAAATAAAAAGCAAAACTGAGTCAGGAAGTACACTGCCCTACCTCTGTAAGCACCCCTTTTAGAAAGGGCCTAAACCTCAGTGTTTAGGCCATGTGGTCACAACCACTGCCCTTTGGAAGGTAAGCATACTAAACTGCTAAACAAAAGCCTTAATGGAAATTGTCTTCAAACCAGTGCCTTACAAACCTACATCACAAAGTGATAGCAAACCCCAAATCCCCTTGTTAATTATCCTATTTGACATTTCTCTATAGACTCTTATTCTCCTATTAAAATCTGTACTTTTGTTCCCTGCTTCCTCCTCAGGGTTATCTTCTCTATAACTTATCTGATAAATAATGTGAAAGCACTAAGGCCTGAGAATGGCCATGTTAGTGTTTTAAGAAGGGAGATCAATGATTTTCACTTGACAGGCACTGAGAAAGGGTGCCAAGCTGGTAGAGATAATGGGGATAAAAGTCCTCCTGGTTTCCTTCACATCAGATCTCCTGAAATGACAGCCAGAAAAGCATTATTTCTTTTTATGGTTATTTGGCTTCTAACAAAAGCTTAGTCTAAATTAAGACCATGGCTATAGTTTGCCAACCCCTGACCTAAAGAGCTGAAATTTCAAAATTATACATGACTGGAGTGGATACACAAGTGTAAGAAGATCCAGTGGTATGTTTGAATCTGGAGTCACAAAAGGCATTGAGACAAGCTCCATATAATCGTAGAAGCAGCTTTCTGATATTTTCTTCTTAACTTCCTCCTCTGCCTCCTCTGCATCTGGGGCAGGAGTTTCCATATACCGAGATTCTAAAAAGTTAAAAATATTTTAACTAAGAAGAGTGTCTGATCAATCCTAATATCATATTTCATGAAGACGAGAAGAATGCATCTAGCCCATAATACTCTAGCAGTAACTACTACTTCTGGCTTGAACACTAGTTGCACCGCAAGTGAGCACCTGGTTACAGCAGTCTCAAAAGACAGTACATGATCAGTTCCAAGGAAGAGTTATTGTCACTAACGTAGGGTTGATCTCTCCTTATACCATCCCACTGCCCAGAAAAATCCAGTATGAGTATGTGATTCTCAGAAATGAAGTATACAGCTCCAGGGCTGCTAACCCACCCTATCAGAATATGCTTTATGTTCTTTCTTTTATCACTCCCACATACCTTGCAAACATTTTTTATGGATTTACAACTGTTAAACTAAAACAGGGACAATCACTGATAGAAAACGAATAATAATTACCTCCAAAGCTTTCTGTATAATCATCTTGAAATGAACTTGAACTTCCTTCCAAATGTTCCACGTAAGATTCATCATCCTCTATATATGATTCTTCCCCTTCAGTAAATGCTTCACCTGTGGTATCATCAATAGACTTGTGATCCTCTTTCATAGAAGCTATTAAAAATAAATTGTTTTAATAATTTCTAAATTTGAATTAAATATTTTCTTATTTTCAAAGAAGCTAATATGTCCAATTCGTTTGCACTCTAAATTGAATGAATTTTAAACTCAAAAATTCCTACAAAAATAATTTTATTTGGTCACTCTTGTAGCTTTACAAAAATTGTTTCAAGCTTTTCCTGTGAGTTAATCTCCATTTTCACTTCATTACCAGTCTATTTCCTACCAAAACAGACTTATAAGAAAGTAAAGGATAAAGAAAAAAAGATTGGCTGGTATGCTGCTATCATTTTTTCAATTTAATTTGATTTGATCAACCTATTATTTATATAGGACCTTTTAAGGGTTTCCCTAGTGGCTCAGCTGGTAAAGAATCTGCCTGCAATGTGGGAGACCTGGGTTCAATCCCTGGGTTGGGAAGATTCCCTGGAGAAAGGAACAGCTACCCAGTCCACTATTCTGGCCTGGAGAATTCTATACGGTCCATGGGGTTGCAAAGAGTCAGACATGACTGAGCAACTTTCACTTCACTTTTATGTCAAAGATAAAGCTGACTGAGCGACTAAACACAGACAAGAATAAACTTCTCTGGGTATGACTATTTATCTCTGAATGATACCCCAGGAATAAGTCAGACTATTCTCTTTAGAACAAGGTAGAAGAGAAAGAGAATTGGAATGGGAGTAAAACAGACCTACTAACAGGTCTAAGCTAACGTTCAGATCAAGTCCAAACATGAGTGTGATTCAAATATACCATGTCAAGCAGGTGAAAGGGCCAGGTAAAGTTTCAGAATAACAAGGCAGAAATGGTAAGTGTGCTACAAATAAGTGGAACCACCTGGCAGATATAGCTGTGAAAGTGGAAGTGTTAGTCCTCAGTCGTGTCTGACTCTTTGCGACCCCATGGACTGTAGCTCGCCAGGCTCCTCTGTCTATGAGATTCTCCAGGCAAGAATACTGGAGTGGGTAGCCATTCCCTTCTCCAGGGGATCGTCCCAACCCAGGGATCGAACCCGTAGGCAGATTCTTTACTGTCTCAGCCAAGATCTAGCTGAGATGAAGGTAAAAGATGAGAAACAAGGCCTAAGACTAATATGAATGGGGTAAGAAAGCCAATCAACAAGACAACAGGATAGGGTTCTATAGGATTCATGCATTTGGATGGAAAGAAAATAATCCTGGACACCTAAATGTGGCCTCATTTCTTGAATTGCCCCAAGAGGGATCCTTGGGTAACTATTCTCCAATAATACCATTGAACAGATATCTTAGCTCTTCCATGTGACTATCACAATCAAATATTATTTCCCATCTCTAGACTACAATATTAAAAGCTTGATACCCAAGCTGCCATGAAATGAATTAAGGCTGCCAGCTAGGATAATGGAATTGGCAGTGAATACAGGTGAAGGGGAGTAAATCAATTTTCTAAAAATGAATATTCTGAGCCTGCTTGAAGGGCTCTGATAGGAAAAGTGGAGTTTGGAAAGAAAAAACTAACAAGCAGTGCTGGACAAAGGGTCATTATCATTAAATCCACCCATCCAGGAAAATGTTGCAAAGAACTGGAAACTATAAAGTAGACAATCCTCTGTCATAAATGCAGGAAGCAGAGAAAAGTGTAAATGGAAAAACAAAAGAGATGCAAACTGAAGTTTGTTGAGGAGAGTGATATTTGGGGAGGATAACTCTAGTGGAGGTATGGACAGGATGACTTGAGTAGAGATCCTTGTTACAAAAGTCCAAACAAGAGGAGATAAACACCTAAAATAAAACATAATATGGAGAAATCATGGATTAGCCAGATAATGCCTCAGATAAACTGAAAGAACTTAATGTACAATTTATAAGTAAATTGATTTCCCCAGGACCTGATCTCCTCTAGGTGAATAGTAAAAATTGTATTTCTGAAGCTAGACTTAGGACTAGAAACTTAAAAAAGTCAAGATTCCACTAAACTACCTCACACCATGATGCCCAGTCAGAAAGAACCAGCAGTCCTTTAAAAATCCTATTACAAAATTCTTCACTTTCCCTTCTATCTACATGTGATGATATTCTTCCACGTATGGTATCCAATTTAATTCTCAGACAGCTTACAATGGTCATTTTGTGGGTAGGAAAATTGAGGTGCAGAAAGCTGAAATAATTTATCTAAGATCAAGCATCTCTAAATAGTAGACCCAGGACTCAAAACTGAAGTCCAATTCTCTTTCCACTACACTGTATCAGAGGGGCCCATTAAAGACCTTGTAGACCTGACAGGAAGGAGCCAGACCAGATGCGAAGCTGGGTCATTATCAATATAGAGATGACAGTAGCTTCTCTGTTCTTTAGAAGCTAGAGATAAAATGATTAAAACACAGAATCTGCCCCCTAAACAACTTAAGAGTTTAGTAAGGGAATTAAACAAGTAAACTTTTCTGTCATATAAACTTAGATATGCATTCTTTAAAAATTATTTTATCTAAATTTAATAATAAAGACCCTAGTGTATACTATAATCTTTACTTACTTCTTGATGCAGATCTAGAGGAATGAGACTGCCTTCTGTCACTCTTTGATCTATCTGATTTCCCCCCATCAGTATCCTGATCATCTGGTTCCTTCATTTTCTCTGTAAGCATAAAATTGAGACAGAGAAAGGGGGAGAGTATAAAATAGAAATCAGATTTTTTTTTCCCCTCAACAAATTCCACAAACACCAAACACCATATATGTTGACAATCATATGTTTACACAGTATCAGAAATGACTTCACTAGCGGGAGGCCACAACTACCATCAGAGACCTCTGCAGAGTGGCAAAATAGAGTCAGATACTCCTTTCCTCCAGGCAAACTTGTTACCATGGTGCCCTCTGGTTTTCCAGAGGTCCACAGTGAAACACCACCTAAGCCCATCATCATTCCCTAAATGCTCCACCATTAAAATTAACCCTCTGCCATCCTGCTTTGGGTTCATCCCCTCTGCTTCCTCTTCCCAACATCAAATTCCCCTGGTGTTGCTAATCAACTTCAATATTTAAATATTTGTTGACATATTCTCTGTATCAAGTCTTATTACACTAAATTACAGTACTGAACTAGAAAGATACAGCCCTTAACTTAGTGGAGCTTGTTTAGAAAGACAGGTATTAAACAAGCAATTAAAATATAATGAGTTTTACAAAAATTAGGGTGCTGTGGGCACATATAGCAAGAAGATGAAACCATGTCTGGAGTTAGCAAAGAGGCATCTGAGATGGGAGATTAGAAGAGGTTGACCAGGCATGAAGTAGGAAGTGACGGAGCTTCAGAGAGATGCTTGCGTCTGTGAAGGGCTGAAAGCAGGCTACTGGCTAGATCAGGAGAGTAAAATGGACACTGAAGAGGAGGCAGGTCGCAGATTATATTATATTATATTATATAATATATATATATATATATATTATGTTATATATTATATCATATGTCTCTAAGAGACAAATATTATATTATATGTCTCTAAGTTTTGCTAAGGAGTTTAGAACTTATTTCTATGGCAGTTGAATGCCACTGAAGGTCTTTAAGGAGGGGAATGACATGAGAAGTTTTCCCTGTCCTCTCTCTCTGTTTCAGCTCTTGTAGATGAGAACACCTACTATATCTTTCTTCTAAGTCTTCCTTTCCCTGCACTAAACATTGCCTGTTTCCTCAGCATTCTTCTATGGTATGGCTGGCAGGTAGAGTAGAAGTTCTATTTGGATCAGATCTGTGGTTAGATTCAGGTTTGAATCCCAGTTTTGCCACATAACTAGCTAATAAAACTTTACATCAATTCCTCAGTTGTAAAATTGGAATGTAGAGAAAACTTCTTATAAGAATACTATGAAAATTAACTGAACTACTGCATTATTATACCATTCTGATCTCCAAAGAAAGATATATCCCAAAGCAGCTATGATCTACACTATATGATCAGTGCATGAGAGGGTAGGATGACTATCACCTATCTTCATCTTCTGAACATAGACTTTAATCCATCTGTTTTCTTGCACTGACATAACAGTGACACCCCCTCTTGATTTTTTGTTCATTTTAATTCTTTTAGAATGAAGGAATTGGGAGGTTGTAACCTGGTGAGGCTTTGATGCCAGAGAGACTTGTTTGGTCTCTTGTTTGACCAAGAAAGAAAGATTAGCTTGGCCAAGGGCCAAGCTCCTAACATCCTTTAACCTGTTAGTCTTTTTATATGTAAAATGGGGATGATAAGGTTTTCTGGCAGAATCATTGTAAATATTAAATGAGATCTTTTATACCCACAGTTCTCAACTCTGGCTGCACTTTAGAATCACTTGGAAAATGTTTCACAACATACTATTCTTACGGTCTCACTCCCTGTGTAATTCTTTTGGGCAGCCAGAGAATAGGAACCAGAGGTAAAGATCAGCGGTTTAGAGCAAACTCTTTGCTAGGTACTGGAAAATGGGGATTTTACTATAATTACTATACATTCTCTTTAATACAGCGAGGGCTCAATAAATATGACCATACAATCTTGACAGTTGAAAGAAGTTAAATCTGGCTCAACCTCTCACCCAATATAAGTCACACATCTACAGCTCAAACCCAGCACCACTAGAAAAGCAGTCTAGGCTCTTCCTGTTACTAGTTGTGAGGTGTTGAATAAGCATTTAACCTCTCTGTGCCTTCTCAACTATAAAGTGCAATACCTACTTCACAAGGTTGTTCTCAGAGCTCAATGAGTTAATACACTAAAGTTTTCAAAGAACAGTGCCTGACACTCACTATATAAAATAGGGATGAATGTATCACTTCCTGAATAAAGGAACAAATGAAAGAACACACCAAAAGACATCCGCTTCAATTTAAACATATCAAGAGAGTGAGCACATTCTGTTAATGAGTACTTTCTATTTCTTAGTAAGCTCATTTTATATTATACGAAATCCCCCTTTCTGCAGTTTGGATCTATTTGGCCCTTATTCTTCTGGGAACACACAGGACAAGTTTTTCTGTTTACTATAGCCATTCAAATAATTGTAGCTGGTTTACTTTCCTCCCCAGATCCTCTTTTCCCAGCTAAAGCATCTCAATTCTTTCAACTATTTCTCACTAACATACTTTCAACTTTTTTCAGCATCTGGACAGATCAAGAAATTAATTCCCAGTGCATCATATACCTCTCCCAATTTTATATGTACTTTGAAGGACCTGGACACTTTCCAGAAGATATGAACCATCACTTTACTGGTTAGGGACATTGTGTTTTTTCAAGGTAGCCTAATATTACATTGTATTGCCAGAGTGGGGTGAGCAGGCTCATTATATAGTGACTTCATAATCCATTTGTGGCCAACTAGAATCACTAAACCTTATTTGTGTGTTCCTAACCATGTCCTATTTTATACAACTAAACTAGCTAGGTTTGGGAGTCTATTTGTAAAACTATCTTACATCTATTTTCATTAGACTCACACTCACTGTTCCAGCCTATGGCTAACCCTGTTAATCAACTCACTAGGTAGACTGTGAAGTTTTGAGTCAACCCTGAAGAAGTATAAAGAAAAAAGAAAATTACAGTACACAGTGATGCAGAGTATGTGTTGCTAGGAGGTTGGCTGGAAGCCAGACAGAGAGCTCCCCAAGGTGACATTACTCAGATTCATTGTCTAGAGATTCCAGAGTCAGTCCCCACTCTCACAAACTCAGTGTGCCAGAGCCACTCACGTTGAGAGTCATAGGTTCCTGCATAAAAACAGACACTCAGTTTTTACTTTACAGTGTGAAATACAACTGTGGGGAGAATAATAGCTCATGGTTTTGTTTTTGTTTTGTTTTTTAATGTTTACCATGTGTCAAGCACAGGTCTGAGGATTTTACACATACTGTTTACTGTTTCATGTATTTCTCAAAACTCCATGAGTTAGGTACATTTTACAGATGAGAAAGCAGAGCAGGTACTCTTTGAATCCTTTCCTCTCACCCAACTCATGCAATTGACTTCCAAGTCCTGTTGCCCAGTGCCCAGTTATGCCTTTTGTATCCATTCTCTGCCTTCTAGTCCTACCGTCACCATCCTAGTTCTGGTCCCCATCCTGTCCACCTCTACCACTACCACAGCCTCATTCTCTCCCTTCTCTGGTCCATTTCTGCACTGCCTCTTATATTTCTAAAACTCAGCTTTTTGTGTGCCACTTTTCTTGTTTAAAACTTCATGGTTCCTCATTGCCACAGAATAAGAACTCGGATTCCTTGGTGTGGCACAAAGGTCTTCACTGTAAAGTCTGCAATTCAATCTCCTGTCACCTTCCCCCTTCCTGAACCCTCCTCAGCCCCTCCTCCTTCCCAAAAGTTCTAGTCAGTAGCCAACTGGGACAACTCAATGGTTGCCTGGACATGCTGCCTACTTGTATGCTACTATACCCTACTGGGTCTTGATGTGCTACATACTTGACCTGTATTATCCTATTTAATTGTAACAGGAAACCCATGAAGTAAGCACCACCACCCACCACCTTCCCTGCCTATATGAGGAAACTAAAGTGTAGAAGGTCAACCTGCCAAGTGTCACACCGCTTAGTGTGGGATGGGGCGTCTTGTTGACTGAGAACCCAGGCACTTTCCCACCAACCACCCCACCTCCCCTGCTTTTGGCTCAGCCCGGTCTAACTCAAGACTCCAGTTGTCTGTCTTCCTCCCTAGCTAGATTACGACCTCGTTGCAGGCAGGAACCGTGTCCACTATGTATCTGCAGTGTGAAACCCCATTCCTAAGAATGCTGTCACTTCAAATGTTTAGCGAACTGATCCATAGACAGGATAAGGAGTATGTTTCAATGAAGTCCGGAAAACACCAGCTCAGTTTAAGAGAAGTTCAAATAGAGCTCACTGCTCCTTTACTCACTAACAGATTTGAGGGGGAAGTTGTGGGAACTGCGAAGCTTACCGAAGGTACTCCGCGGGCGCTCGGCTTTCGCAGTCACAGCATCAGTCCCAGTTCTCCGTTTACAGCGGTTACCATAACAACGCCAATACACCTTCCAGACGGGAGGGGACTGCAGGCGCATGCGCTGCCGGAGGTGACTTTCTGGGTCAGCTCAATCTTATTCGCCCTGTGGCCCCGCCCATTTTGTGGCCCAGGATTCAGGATCAAAGCCAAACATAAAGTCCAGCATCCAACGAGTTTATCATACCAGTTTAATATGTATGTCTAGCTAATGATTATTATCCAAGAATGCTCTATTGGTAACTTGAACACTTTGAAAGATATGCCCAATAATACAAAATGGCTCAAAGTTTCCCTGATCACAGACCATCATCAGCAAAGATATGTCATGGAGATATTTTAATTTATTTTATACTATGTTATTTCTGTTGGTCTTTAGGAGTAATATTTTATGTTGTGGGCTCTTTGGTCACAGGACTCTAAGTGCACAAAATATAGACTTGGCTTGACAGATTTCTCAGTTTAGCAGTTTGTTCTCCCAACTGCTCCGTGGCACAACCAGAGATCATTATTATTTTTAAGCACCTAACTAATGTTACTGGTTACAAAACATTGTTTTTAAATGGCTACAATTTCGCAATATGTGACAAAGAACTTTGCATCCAGAATTTTTTAAAAACCTCA